TTCCTTTCAGCTTGTATATTGAGGTAAATGATTACATTTAGCTATAAACCAGTGATGTATTATACAGTATTATACGTCCCTGCTATAAACCATTGTTTTTTTGGGTATTATACGACAGCCTGGCAGAAACTTACATGGAGCTTGCCGGTTCGTCTTTTTCCTTTTAGAATCGGGTATGTAATCATGTAGGAGCACTTTAACATTAATATAACCTCACCATAATCATCTTAACAAATATAAAGCATATATTATAACTGTATATTCTAAGTCCTGTAGAGGTTCATTAATGGTCCTGTAATAAACTTAACTACTAATTGATATCCAAAAGTAGTAACCAAGTATTATTAGTATGACATTATTAACGGCCCGTCAACACATAAAAAGTCTGTAGAGCCATCAACCGGTAAAACCACACAGCGTAGTAGTAAACAAGGAACACCCCAATTGGGCCTCGGTTACCAATAGATTTTATGTAGAGTATCTAACGAGTTCTGGTTACAAAGTGTGCTTACTAAAGTATATTTATTGTTTCGTATGTGCAATGGACGCAACAGTCGTCTACTACAAAATGGTTATCTTGAGACAGAACAAAATCTAAGCCTATGCAGATTAAATTCTTTAAAGTATCGAAGTTATAAACCAGAATTTGTTCAGGTTATTAGTTTCAGATATCTGTAAAAAGGGTTTACTGTAGCTATGAGAACCAGCTATCCTAAGCTGTAATTAAATCAAAGACGACAGGTTACTATAACAACGGGTGTTAGTGGTAATACTTACTTGGTTTATCGTCGGAATACAGAACATATTACACGGCCTAAACATTCCATTGTATGTATAATGAAATTCGAATTCAAAGAGGAACCCGGTTATATTAACGATATCAGTCAATTGTCGAGATGACCCCATTGTCAAAATTGTATATAGCCTACGGTATCTCATTGGACCAATGCTGTGTATATATATAAATACGACCAAATATAAACCATAAAATGTCTTCCGAACTTTGGTAAAACACCTGTGTTGGTCTGAATCAACAGTACAGTCTTCATGGTGAACGTCAGTCACAAACCAGAGTATATCTGAATCAACAGTACATAGTCTTCATGGTGAACGTCAGTCACAAACCAGAGTATATCTGATTCAACAGTACATAGTCTTCATGGTGAACGTCAGTCACAAACCAGAGTATATCTGAATCAACAGTACATAGTCTTCATGGTGAACGTCAGTCACAAACCAGAGTATATCTGATTCAACAGTACATAGTCTTCATGGTGAACGTCAGTCACAAACCAGAGTATATCTGAATCAACAGTACATAGTCTTCATGATGAACGTCAGTCATAAACCAGAGTATATCTGAATCAACAGTACATAGTCATCAAGGTAAACGTCAGCTAGATTCAATCTGTAACAATTGTACAACTGAATAACAGGAAAGAAAGCTTTTAACACAGAAACGCTGCTAGGAAGTATCAACTTTAATGACAGTGCACCGTTTTTCCTACTGTGTACTTTAAAAAACTATTTCAATCAAAACAATATTTAGTCAAATACAACACACATGATATTTAAATTCAATCGAATTGCAAACATGGCTTACAGGATAAAAGATATGAAATATCCATGAGGATTTGAATCAAAACACTTTTAAATAAATTCCATATTTTCTTGAGAATATCTGATAATTTTTGTTATTTTACTAGTCATATTCAAATTTGCCATCTTCACAGTATACGCCTTAAAATTCATTACTTTTTGGGGGAGTAACCTCCCTTGACACAATAGAATTCTTATTCAAAGTTTAACTTCTCAGGAACAATTTTTATAGGTGAAAAAATCACCTTTCAGTCTTACTGTAAATTAGAAATATCAATAGCAGCTTATTTTACTGTTCACCATTAGATCGAGTACAGAAAATTCGTAATTCAAACAAAAATCTGGGAAACTTAATATACAAACACACAGTCAATCTACACAGACATGCTCTACTTGTGTGAACAGCTTGAGTAAAAAAAACACGCTCAAAATACAAGGACACTCTTAACTTATAAGGATACACTGGTCTTACATGGATACATTTGTCTTACAAGGATACACTCGACTTAAAGGAACATACTGAAAGAAGATAATAGGATTATGTACTTGGAAGGTGAAATCTCTTCTACAACAATCAAGTGATTTGTCACTTCCTGAATATCTGGAGTATTAACAACAAAATCAAACTATATAGACATAAAACATTATCAATAAAAAAAATCAGTAACTAAATAAAATTATGTCACAACAGCTTTCAAAACGAGATCACTATGACAACAATGACGTCAACAGTCTGTAATAAACAACTTGTGAGCTGGCCAATACAAATACAACGCTCAAACAGGCTATAACCTAATGATTTATTATTATGCCAAACTGCAAGGCTGTGAGATTTATGAAGGGGGGTGGGGGGATAACTCAGGGGAAACAGCACTATCACACTAGTCATATCTTTATACATACTAGTATATCTATGATCAATAAAAAGATAGGATCATAACAACCTTAACTTGTGGTAACTTTAATCACATAAATCCATTATAAAAATACAATCCATAAACAATGTAAAGAGAAATAATTTTAAAAGTTTTAACTGTCCTAGGGCTATTGTTCACTCGTTATCTCTCATTTTTATTTTGTTTGGTTGTATTGACTGCATTAGGCTAGTAGCACAATTAAGAATATACACATCTACCTTACACTCTCTTGAAATAATGTAATATTGAAAAATTAGAAATTGTGACATTTAAAAAAGACATTTACAAAAAGACAACAGAACCCCACCTGGTTTCTGACATCTCTTTTGCTCAATTTTATTTTTCCTTGCCACATCAGTTTTTCTTTTTTAGCCATTAGCATCACTGATGAGTTCTAGAAACAGCTAACACAGTTTGATGGAATGGGTCTACTGTATATATCTAACTGTATATTTATATTGAATGATGCTCTACACTTGTGTGTGTTTGGTAAAATATCTGTTACATGATGATCTGATCAAGTTGGAATAAACACCATCTATTATCATTAATATAGAATATTTAGTCATTCATAATTGATGACATGTGTCTATGATAAATGATCATCGAAACAGAAGTCTAACAGGGCTATATCTAGGAGATTCCTTTGTGTACAGTCACCTTATTCCTATTTCAAAATTTCTGTTTATGGTTAGAGATTCTGATATGTATTCATGGTGACAATCCCACAAAGCATAAATGTAATTGATCTAGAATACTTGTATATTGCTGAAATAACATATATTCTTGAACAGACCATGTGAAATACACCAGTCCATCAGACAATGTCTGGTAAATCTACCGTCGGTCTGGACAAGAAAAACACAATACTAGATGGAATGTCCGGTATCTGCTTGCTTGTTAGAAGACCCTGAAATCACATAAAATCTAAAATGTCCTGTAGAAGTTCGTCCAGGCTGGTGAAAAGTCAATTATTACCAGACCGAATGTCCTGTAAAGAAATTTTATATTTCGCATGGTCTGATTGTAAAAGAAAACATTGTACAATTGGAATAGAATATTATCACAAAGAAGATAATATACATTACTTGTGACTCAGATATTACCATAAAGAAAATAATATAAAATAGTATACAATTTAATAGTATCACAAAGAAAATAATGTACAATTTTTGTAACTGGAATATTATCATTTAGAAAATAATGTATAATTTTTGTAACAGGAAAGATATCATTTAGAAAATAATACAAAATACTTTAACAAGAACACTATTGTGAAGAAAAAAATGTACAATTTTTGTAACTGGAAAGTTATCATTTAGAAAATAATACAAAAATACTGTTAACATGAACACTATCGTGAAAAAAATAATGTACAATTTTTGTAACTGGAATATTATCATTTAGAAAATAATACAAAATACTTTTTAACAAGAACACTATTGTGAAGAAAAATGTACAATTTTTGTAACAAAAGAAAATAATGCACAATAAAAAACTGGGATATTATCATTAAGAATCACAATATGATGAGGCCCAATGGGCCTGAATCAATACCTTAAATTTACATTAAAGAATTTGTTGGTTTCAGTAAATTTCTAAAATCTTGAAAGCCTTTTCTTATCACATAAATACCATGACACAGGACCTACTAGTACCACTTGTTTTAAAAGAAGAAATTTTAAGCTGTATTTATGCAACTAACCCCAGAAATTTTAAAACTAAGTCAAGATCAGTCATTTGAACAAATTTATAAGCCCTTAACCTCAGCATGAAACTCTGCCAATATCGAAGTTCTTTTGAATTTTTTCATACATTTAATCCCTGTGACAATAAAAGTCCTTCACTTGAGCAAACTTTAGCTTTCATTACAACATTCTAGTCCCCTCTTTTAGTACCAAAAGGGTGTACTCACTGACTGAGGGACACAATACAAACCTATGATCCCCTCTGTCAGTACCAATAGGGTGTACTCACAGACTGAGGGACACAATACAAACCTATGATCCCCTCTGTCAGTACCAATAGGGTGTACTCACAGACTGAGGGACACAATACAAACCTATGATCCCCTCTGCCGGTTCCAATAGGGTGTACTCACAGACTGAGGGACACAATACAAACCTATGATCCCCTCTGTTAGTACCAATAGGGTGTACTCACTGACTGAGGGACAAAGTACAAACCTATAGTCCCCTCTGTCAGTACCAATAGGGTGTACTCACAGACTGAGGGACACAATACAAACCTATAGTCTGCTCTGTCAGTACCAATAGGGTGTACTCACAGACTGAGGGACACAATACAAACCTATGATCCCCTCTGTCGGTTCCAATAGTGTGTACTCACTGACTGAGGGACAAAGTACAAACCTATAGTCCCCTCTGTCAGTACCAATAGGGTGTACTCACAGACTGAGGGACACAATACAAACCTATAGTCTGCTCTGTTAGTACCAATAGGGTGTACTCGTAGACTGAGGGACACAATACAAACCTATGATCCCCTCTGTTAGTACCAATAGGGTGTACTCACAGACTGAGGGACACAATACAAACCTATAGTCCGCTCTGTTAGTACCAATAGGGTGTACTCGTAGACTGAGGGACACAATACAAACCTATGATCCCCTCTGTCAGTACCAATAGGGTGTACTCACAGACTGAGGGACACAATACAAACCTATGATCCCCTCTGTCGGTTCCAATAGGGTGTACTCACAGACTGAGGGACACAATACAAACCTATGATCCCCTCTGTTAGTACCAATAGGGTGTACTCACAGACTGAGGGACACAATACAAACCTATAGTCCGCTCTGTTAGTACCAATAGGGTGTACTCGTAGACTGAGGGACACAATACAAACCTATGATCCCCTCTGTCAGTACCAATAGGGTGTACTCACAGACTGAGGGACACAATACAAACCTATAGTCCGCTCTGTCAGTACCAATAGGGTGTACTCACAGACTGAGGGACACAATACAAACCTATGATCCCCTCTGTCGGTTCCAATAGGGTGTACTCATAGACTGAGGGACACAATACAAACCTATAGTCGGCTCTGTCAGTGCCAATATACATACAATTATATAACTTAATCCTTTATATTAATTACCATGCTGTCATTGTTATTTATAACAAAATGTCTCCATTAAGAGATGATGAGAATCTCAAAATTGTATCTTTCATACAATTTGATGAAACTTGAATGATGGTACCAATCACCAAACTAGTATGCTAGTTACTCCCAAACTTGGAAATAGTCTGGTATCGGCAAATGAAATTGCTAGCAGCCAAATTTTATGAGGTCACATCTTTCCTTGTCCAAGTCTCCCAGTTAAACTTGTAGCTGTAGCTAAGACGGTGAGTTCTCTGTAGAAGCTCTTGAATATCACAGTACCGTTTCACTGGATTGACCAAGTACTGTAGTTTAACATGTGTGGCAAATTGGATATGTTTGAAGTTGTTGATGAGTGATGTAGCAAGTAATGATTCCAACACATCATACTCACATCCTTCACAATTCAGAGTTAGTAAGTCGACATCGTAACAACCAACACCTAGTTTTGTCAGAAAAACTGTTGTGTTGACAACCTTTAGAGAACAGGTTCCCTCTGCAGTCTTTGCTAAGAATGGTGATGTAGCATCACCATCATGACCTTCGATACTCAACATAAACACTTCGTTCTTTTTACCTAAACCTACATTATAGGTTACAATATTATGCCGGAGTGTAAACTTTTTGACAAGGTTTCTATAAAGAAGCTTCAGTGGTTCCAGAATCACATAATTCTTTGGATTGTAGTGCTGTATGAAATACTCAGCATCCTCCCCAACGTTGCCTCCAACATCGATAACCAGGCTCTGATTGGTCAGATATTTGTGATGATGATGACGAACATACTGATTATCGCCATACCAAAATAATTCATGGGCTGCCTTGAAGTCATGTTCATAGTTTTGTACGCAATGATCAGCACGACTCTGCTCGTTCTTGTTAAGAAGAATTGGGTGTACTGAAACTTTACCGAGACAATCCTGTTGTGTTGCACCAGCAAATGGGAGAAACTCAACTTTTTCTAAACCAGACAAACGGAGTTGTTCTGGATCCTCTATACATATATAAATTGGGTTCTGCTTAGGACATTTAGATTTCTGATAAATAATAATAACCATTAAGAATAAGCAGAGAATAATCACACAACGGAAAAGATGACTAGGGTTTTGTAGGATTCCTTTGATCATGAGAGCTGGTCGCTGATTCAGTGTTGTAGAGGCCATGTTGAATTTATTTCTGTCATACAGACACCATCTGAACCATCTGAAGTGTATATACCTGAAACACGGATAAAACAATGTATAAATTGTGTTTATTCAGCTTTAAAGGCACATGGAAAGGGCAAAATTTTTCAGACATTTTCATGAAAATGCTGAAAAAATTACAGTCTTTAGTAATAAGTGCAATTATTTGACAGTGTTTTGTGTAACTATTATAATTCAGAAAGAAAGACACCAGAGAAATGACTAAATGATGTTGAGCTGATTAAGATCTTTCTTGAATACAAGCAATAATGGTTACCATAAATTCTTTGACCAGAAAATTCAGACAATAAAACACAAATTCTTTGACCAGAAAATTCAGACAATAAAACACAAATTCTTTCACCAGAAAATTCAGACAATAAAACACAAATTCTTTCACCAGAAAATTCAGACAATAAAACACAAATTCTTTCACCAGAAAATTCAGACAATGAAACACAAATTCTTTCACCAGAAAATTCAGACAATAAAACACAAATTCTTTCACCAGAAAATTCAGACAATAAAACACAAATTCTTTCACCAGAAAATTCAGACAATAAAACACAAATTCTTTCAGAAAATTCAGACAATAAAACACAAATTCTTTCACCAGAAAATTCAGACAATAAAACACAAATTCTTTCACCAGAAAATTCAGACAATAAAACACAAATTCTTTCACCAGAAAATTCAGACAATAAAACACAAATTCTTTCACCAGAAAATTCAGACAATAAAACACAAATTCTTTCACCAGAAAATTCAGACGATAAAACACAAATTCTTTCACCAGAAAATTCAGACAATAAAACACAAATTCTTTCACCAGAAAATTCAGACAATAAAACACAAATTCTTTCACCAGAAAATTCAGACAATAAACACAAATTCTTTCAAAGTTTCCATATATTTGAATTTTGCATCAACTTTGTTCTTTCTAATGCAAAATATTTAATTTGAGAGCATATTAACACTGTAAAGACTTTCAGAGGGATATATGTTGAATATCTATGTACATGACATTATTATCATACAGGAAATATTTCAAAACATCTAACCAATCTGTACCAAGTTTGATTTATACAGGGTCAGTATTGTTGGGTATATATGATTCAACTATACTGGGTCTTGTTTATACAGGATCAGTATTGTTAGGTATATATTTGGTCAGTCTATACAGGGTCTGGGTTATACAGGGTCAGTATTGTTGGGTGTATATTTGGTCAGTCTATACAGGGTCTAGGTTATACAGGGTCAGTATTGTTGGGTATATAATTGGTCAGTCTATACAGGGTCAGTATTGTTAGGTATATATTTGGTCAGTCTATACAGTGTCTTGTTTATATAGGGTCAGTATTGTTAGGTATATATTTGGTCAGTCTATACAGAGTCTTGTTTATATTTGGTGTCTATACAGGGTCTTGTTTATACAGGGTCAGTAATGTTAGGTATATATTTGGTGTCTATACATGGTCTTGTTTATACAGGGTCAGTAATGTTAGGTATATATTTGGTCAGTCTATACAGAGTCTTGTTTATATTTGGTGTCTATACAGGGTCTTGTTTATATTTGGTGTCTATACAGGGTCTTGTTTATACAGGGTCAGTGTTGTTAGCTATATATTTGGTGTCTATACAGAGTCTTGTTTATATTTGGTGTCTATACAGGGTCTTGTTTATATTTGGTGTCTATACAGGGTCTTGTTTATACAGGGTCAGTAATGTTTGGAATATGGCATGTTTACACATGTTTTTTTTACAGTAATTGAAACTAGCAGTTAAATTTGATATGCTGGTGAAAAAGAAAAAAAAAGTCAGGTCATATGAGTTTTATCTGATTATCAATATCATGTTCACAACAAGAGATTGAATGGTCTCCAGATAGAACCAGACAGTAATAATAGATGATATCTATTGATAACCTTTTCAAATTGTAGACTTAAACATTCACAATGGTATCATCCACACAGACAATTTCATTTTTCAGATCGAAAACACTGCCCTCCTTTGGTGTATTTAAACATAAAAATGAGTTCTTTATAAAACGCACTCCAACAGGCTCCAAACAAACACCAGTCAGTCACTTCTGTTAAAGGGACATCACTCTCATTAAAGGGAAATATCATTAGAAATTGAATGGACACATTGTGTAAACCCCATTTATGTCTAGATGTTATCTCAGAACACTTAGTCCATCCTAAATGTCCAGTCTGACCACTTAAATTGTTTTTAGTAAGCCCTCTAGATATCACAAGAATGATATACATAACTCATAAAAAACTCCTAAACATACATTGACAGCATTAATAAAGACTGTAAATATTTTGTTTGCTGTACAATCTAATTTTTCAAAGATCATTGCACACTGATTATAACAGCTTTAACTTCATTTCATATACCGTATGATTTAAAACATGTGTCATTTCACCATCACAATTTTCTAGGTCCCCCTTTACAACACATTCTTACTCGTCAACTTTGATTTACTCAAACACTTGCTGTTTCCTCATTCCTATAGTAATTGTTTCATATTATTCAGAATCTTTCTACTGGTTACACTGGCTTCCCATCCTGATCCTGTGATTACACAAGTACTCTTTGACAACGCCTTGCTTTGTAAATAATAACACAAGACAATTCTATAAATTAGAGTACTCCACCAAATGAGAAATCATATGCCAAAAATGCAACAAAAGTGAATCCCTACCCTTTGTAAGAAGTTCCATTGCCAAGAAGTGCTAGAAATAGAGTCTGGACAAGATGGCTGAATGACAGAAGAAAGGATAGATGGACCGATGGACACAATACAAATTTAAATCCTCTCCAAATCTCTTGTGGTGGACTTTTAATATATGTAGTTTTTGTTCACGATCACTTCACACCCTTTCATTTACAATAACTAGTTCTTCAATGTGTATGCAGTTAGTTTTCAATCTTTGTAAATATTTGTGAGCAATCTAAGTACAACAAGTACTTATTGTAATGGTGACCATTACAAATGTCCCCCAAACGACCCCTTCAGCAGTAAATGATCACAATAATCAGACCTGCAGTCATGCCAAACATGAACACACCAGTTTTGAATAGAAATGAGAACGTAAAATTTTTAAAACATCAGAAGAGAGGAAATGTTGATGCTTTTAGTTTGGTATAAAGAGAAGTGTCCTAACCTCAGTATGACAAAGAGTTTATTTTGTGTCTGCTACTTTCAATATTAAGTACTTCTCAATGGTCCATTTAAACATAAAGGGTAAAAGGCGTCAAATAGACTACGCCTTTTTGCTCCGTTTGCCACCTAATACATATATACCAATTTTCACGAAAATCGGACAATATCTAAAATTTGGCCAAATTTTGACCACAGATGACCGATCGATGGCCGAATGAAAAATGGACCACGCCATTTTGCTCCTATAGTGCCACCTAATACATATATACCAATTTTCACAAAAATCGGACAATATCTAAAAAGTTTTGACCGACTGGAAAAATTCAAGTGGCCTGCACTCCGCCTCGCATGTATGAATAGGTGTGTAAAGTTTTATTAAATTTCATGCAACAATTTTAGAGAAACATAATTAAGGATCTATATTCAAGTCAGTGGTATTACCATATGGATTCACATTAAATTTTTTGCTAATTTTCTTTATCCCAATGAATAATTTTCATCAATATGTTATCTACATGTACCGGGCAGTCATGATGATAAATGTAAAATGTGATAAATTGGACGCTTGACTTCCTCAGCAACAGATATCAGAGAGTATTAGTCAATGGAAACTTTATTCAAAACATATCACATGAAAAAATGTCATTCCACATGGATGCGTTTTAGTTGCAGTTTTATTTGATGTTTACCTGAAGTACCTGTATCTCTATCTGTTTTATTCGCTGATGACACAAAATTATAGACAAATAAGAAGTGAAGATGTACAGATTTTATAGAATGATCTGTATGAATTGCAAATTGCCCAGCTTATGAGTCAAGATAATATGCCGATGTCTTCCCTGTACAGTTACTCTGCCTACGACAACATGTTTACAAAGTAGATCAGTTGTGATGATAGTGAGTTGTAGTCTGGAATTGTTGTACAGGTAACTTGTACAGGTAAATCATATAATCAAGTTCTGATACCTGTTCAGAAATATGTTAATAACTGGAAAAAATGACTAAAATATACTTGTTAAGACTGTTCCAATCCCAAGCTGTTAAATGGGAAATGTATAAAACCACAGTACATTTTGGAGAATTATCATATTTCAATCAGCACTTTGAAGGATCAATTTCTCATTGCTTGATTTATTACTTAACTTTCGTCACACATATATTAGTTAATCTCGGTCTCAGGGTAGGTCTTCTCGGTGCAATGTTTAAATATAACACAGCCGTGTAGGGATCTAACATGATCTTACATGTTAATAGTTAAATAATAATATTACCAAATATTGATATTTAGTAACTATTTTATAATACATATATATACTAAAAATTGTGTTATAATTAATAAAGACAAACAGAAACTTTATCTATTTCATTAATGATGTCATGTGAACTGGTGCCGATCTCTCAGACAAGCTAGTGTCTCAAAGACCGACGTTGTCTGGGTTTTTTTTTTTTCTCGTATATATATATAATGGTTGTGGCATACATGTATGTGCGATGTGAGTGTATAGAATTCATGGGATGTAATGGATTAAGGACTTCCTATTGCTTATAGGGTGAGTTGCTTTCGTTTGCTTATGGTGATCTAAATTTTCTTCTTTTTCCTCATGTACTTATATTATGATCTATTTATTTATCTATTACCTTATATATATCCCATTCATTATTATTTGATTTAGTATTTTTACAGATATATAGATATATATATATTCTCTATTTGAATGATGCCATAATAGCCGTATTCATTTTCCTTGTAATACCATATATTTCCGGAAAATTGGATCCGGTCCGGTTTTTACCCTTATGTTTAGTCTGTACATTTGACTTCCGGCTATCCGTGATAACAACAAGCAGGCCTGCTCTCAGCT